TATATATCTGAATACTAAACTTAGTAACTGAATATCGCGTAATACCACGTAAATGCAATACCCTGAGATGTAATGTCATGTAGATTATGTCGCGTGCGTCAGACATATCGGATGTCTATGAGGACACCTGGCCGATTGCTTCTGATCCGCGATGGATCACACGGAGATATATAGATTTAGCGAGTGAGTCGTCGCTACAAAAGCTTTGTTCCCAAGTAAATACCCTGATCTCTCTCTTACGTGCGTATACATCTTAAATTCCATTGTTGGATCGAAACGCAGCGACACGAGCTTTTGTTCACAGTTTAAAAGCCCTTTTATCTTGCTCATTGACTTCACCGCCATCTAAAATATGACAGATCGAGCTACCGATCCGTGCCAGCGCGAAAGAGAAGGGGGTTGGCAAGCTCGAAATAGGGGTTGTAGCAACGTAAACCTGAGCGGAATTTGAGAGTGCAGCTCCAACGTCACGCCAGCGTCTCAGTATGAATACCGATAAGCGCCTTTCGCAAGCACCGCGACGCTTTTTAAGCACCAGCTCGACACAGTACTAATGAAGAGTTCGCGCTTTTCGAGACTCAATCTCCTTCTACTTCTCCCCTTATGCAAAATGCAATCATCTCTTTTCTCATGAGAAAGAGCAAAAACCTCTCCTTCCACATACATGTATACATATCCTGCACGTTATTTATCTTTATGACATTCTTTTATCGCTGTTTTTTTTTTTAAGACGATCTAATGCTCATGGAAGTCTTAAAAATTATACATATCATCTGTTTAATATACACATTTCTTAATTATTTAATTTATTAGTATTAATTCATTGTGTTGCGATATTTCGTCTGAGGCACATTTTTTTTCGCATTGCAATTTGTTCCAATTTGAGATGTCTATAAGCGAGCGTTATTTTTTTTTCTTATTATGAGATTTAAATTCTTTAAGAAAATGTTTTTAATTTAACTTCTGCACTGCTGTAACGCTTTCAACATTTTTCTACTATGAGAACTTTAACTTTGGACTCAACATTTTTATAATACAGGACAATTTACAAAAACACTAGTAAAATGCCATTGCTAATCGAGTTTGTTTTTGGATTATATTGAAGAACCAATGATTATATCGTTGCAAGCATTTCAGCAAATAAAACGTATTTACATCACATTATACATTATAGTATTAAGTTATGGAAAAGTTTTAGAAATTTTATTTTGCCGTTTGTAATATTTTAATATTTAAAAATTTTTGTTAATATTTTTTTTTTTTAGAGTGACCCGATCGGCGTCGAAACGTCGATTGTTATAATTTCATATTTATAATTTTCAAAATATACATTCTCTGTTTTTGTATCTCTGGCTCGTAGCCCTTTAAATTATTGAATTTGTTAATTTATTAGTTTATATTAATTCCTAGATCCGTAAAGTACAATCGTTAATTGTTATCGTGGTTTCTTAATAGTTTGCTCAATAGATGGAAAAGTACGTATATCTATTTCCGAGCATCGTGTCACGTAAAGCTAAAAAAATTAATAGCGCATCGTATCAATTTTTATCACTATTTGTAATCAGTTATCCATTTCTGTAATTATGGCTGCGTTCTACTTAACGCTCGCAATGCTCGCGAACATCATTTATCCTTTTAATATTTGATAAACAACAAAGATAAAATAATTCCATGAGCGTTGTAAGCGTTAAATGGAACGCAACCTATATAGTAATTATTTACATTCGAAATGTCTATCGTGTTTATCATCGAAGACTTTCGATTTTCGTGAAAAATATCTTTATCAATCTTTTTATTTATCAACTACTCACATTCATATTTATGATTTGCTACATAAATGTTGACGCAAACAGTATTGGACAACTGCAAGTTAGATTAAATGTATATTTTTTTAAATTGTGTGTGTGTGTGTGTGTGTGTGTGTGTGTGTGTGTGTACGCGCGCGCGCGTCTGGCAATACGTTGAAACATTTCATTTACGATTACTAGTCATAAAGAAATACATATTGACATTTATAAAGAAATTTATATTGCTGAAGGATATTTGCGAAATATATTCGTCATGCGAGAGAACTTCATCATTTGCGAAGTTCTAATAAATTCATACATATTATAAATTCAGCAAATTTATCATGTCAAATATGATAAATAGATACATATTATATAGATATGTACATAGATAGATATTAATAATATTTAATGTCGACTGTGCTTTATAATTATTATTCCAAGCATTATTCCAGCTACATCGTCTTTGTCACTGTGTGGGCGAAATGAACATCTTTGTCACGTCACGCGCAGGTCGCCTGGATAAAATCGGATTCGCGTGCGATTTTGGCCATTCACACGCACATGGTGGCGCACAACCCACGCTTGTCTGTCACTCACAACGGCCATAACACATGGAAGCTGCACGTGACTAACGTTCAGCCGAACGACTCCGGCACGTACATGTGTCAAGTTAATACGGATCCCATGAGGAGCCAGGTCAGTAGAGCCGTTGAACATTAGCAACGACAGTCATCGCAGTTCTCTATCACGTTCTACATTGCCGCCGAATAGGGAATGATATCGCTCCGACCTTCTGTATAACGCAAATGCCGCGTGAATGCAATGTATACACGCTGCGTACGTCCGTATAAAACGAAGAATATTCAGCGCGGAATTAGAAAACGCTCATGTCGCGACGTAAACGTTCTTTTTTGATAATTATTTTTTTTTAATTGAGCTAGAATGAATTTTTTTTAATTTCTCTCGCGAATGAAAGAGAAAAGTCAGCCCAGAACTACGAAGATGCTTCTACTCTTTATTAGGATTTTTCTTTTTTTTATAAAATTAATTATCATACAGGATTCGTATTTTAATTTTCTTTCACCCGTTTTGAAAATAATTAAAAACATATCGAAAAGAAAAACTAAACATATATTAATTGATATCTAAAAATTTAAATTTTACAAATTCATTCCTAGTTGTAAGAATTAGAAAAAGATGAAGAGCAAGTTGGACCGAGATTAAAGTTAATCTACTAGTACAAACAAGAGAGAGACTAGTACAAACATTAGATATTTCAACACTCTTATTGATTTTGAATTGAATTCAACTCTGTCAAGTACAGTAATTAAATTGTCGACAAGATCGATACTTTTTCGAGTAGTAATGAATCTTGCGCATAGACCGGCTACATGAAGGTCGTGATACCACCCGATATCATGGACTTGGATAACACCGCGGATATGCTGACCGCGAAGGAAAATGGCGATCTGATGTTGCGATGTCGAGCTACTGGCAACCCGGAACCGGTAGTGATTTGGCGACGAGAAGATGGCCGCAACATTACGTTGAGGAACGAGAACAGCGTCAAGCGAAGTATGATGCTAAGTAGTTTTTAAATATTTGAACGAGTGCATGCAAGGAAGTAAAAAATTTTTAAGAAGGATGTAAAAATCAGAAAAGAGAAAATTATATAAAATGAATTATATGAAATGAAAATATTTTTCTCCCGATTTGCATGAAAATTCGAAGAGACAATAATACATTTTGCAGTATTCAAAAGAATGAATTTGAAATATTTAAAAATTTAGTTAGACATAGAAAATAACTTTTTTGACCTGTCAAAATAGTTGAGAAGCAAAATGCGTTTTGTTCAAAATTTATAATTTTTAGAAAAACGAGAAAGAAAGCCACGATGAAAACCACGTGCCTTACAGGAAATAACAATTTATCAATCAGTAAGATATAAACTGTTAAACAAAATTGCTAAATAATTTCTAATAATATCAAACAAATGCAAATGTCTCTAATTAAAATATATAACGCACATCAAATACCTAGACTTTTTCAATATATAAATTGACGTTGAAAAAATATTTTTTGAATATTCGAAAGTAGCTTATAATAAGCTGTGTCTTTCATTAAAAAAAAAACTATATAGTCAAAATTATTTTCAGAGTTATATTTAGCTATAAATTAGATATTTCTGCAAAATCTTCCATTTTGTATACAAAAGATAAGATAATTAATGTTGACAGAAACACGCTTATTACGTGATTATCAGAATACAATACACTCAAAGGTACAATACATGGATAACAATAGAAACTCACATGTTTCGATTTGATTAATTATTAATTAAACAATAATGCTTAAATTATCGTGTGAAAATAAGATAATCGCTAGTTGCGGTCTTAAAAGTTGAAATAAAATTCCATCACACCTCACCGAGGGATGCTATTAAACGCGAAATATGTCATCGCCGAAGATAGATGAAAATTCTCACCGTCGAGATATGACTAATGATTATGATGCCGGTTCTAAAAGAACGCGATTGGTCGTAGCTAAACGAAATCGTATGTCCAGCGATTTATCTTTAATTGATCCATACGGTATGTGTGGATGTGATTTTCGAGATGAAATATTCCCCTACAAGCGGATCACTTTTAAAAGAGCGACGATGCACGACGACGGGGTTCGCCCTGTCGTCGGTGTCCGCTGCGTCGCGCCGTGCTTTCCCGCGGAAAAGCAGTCATCCGATTAGCCTTCCTGACTGTGAGTGATGGATGTTGACTTTACATATATTTCCTTTTCACCGTGACCCCCCCCCCCTTCTATCGACTCGCGAACCCGATTGCAATATCCAGTGTGTACACTGCGTCGCGAAAACGTTATACCGTCGCGATATCTCCACCCCGCCAGAGTGACTCTACCATCTCTTCTCTGCCGTAGAATCACACATTACAACGTCTGATTTTATATTGTTTCAAAAACTTTTAATTACCATTGTCTTTACGCGACAAGACGACTTCGCGAACTCACTATTCCGCAAATTATTACCATGGTATATAAATTTCCGAAAAGAGGACATCTCTTTTCTCGTAATTGACAAGGAGTAATCTACAATAATAAAAAATATTTTATTCAATACTTCAACTAGCTCGAAGAATTTTTATAAACACAAATTTCTTATTTAAAACCGAGAACATTTTTATTGGAATATCGATCCAGTCACTGATTAATTATTTATTACAATTTTTTTATTTTGCGAAAAAGAAACCGTGGCAGATAATAATGTATCTTTTGCACTGCATAAAAGAGATGATATTTGAGAAATGATATTGGTTTAAGCTTAATGCGTCGAAAATTGAGAGCGTCTGAAAGACATCTGTATTTTCGAATCTCTCATCCTTTATCACGTCGGAAATGTTAAAGCAGCACGTACATTTGAGGGTGAGCAACTTCATCTGCGGGGTATTCAACGACAGGAGATGGGATCTTATCTCTGTATCGCGTCGAACGGAGTGCCGCCATCGGTCAGCAAGAGATATTACGTCAACGTACGTTGTAAGTGTACGCGTGTTGCTCCTAGGTAACAACTTCCGTTCGACCAAGTTACACTAATTGCATCTTTCTCGTTAAAGTCAAACCGCTGATTAAAGTCTCAAACCAGTTAGTAGCGGCACCCGTCGACAGCGACGTTCTTCTTCAGTGTTACGTGGAGTCTTCGCCGAAGGCTCTGAACACATGGTACAGAAATAATGGTGAGAGAACACCGACTTTCATTCCATGTGTACCAAATACTTGTTTATTCCTTTCGAGCACAGCTTAGTTGCTTCGTAATTGCTTTTCTCGTATTCCAGTTATTTAAGATAAATATTTTCTTTATCTATTTCATTGTGACTTGTATGTATATTCGTGTATGTATATTGTGTGTGACACTCTTCGTCCTAGGATTCGCAAAAAAAAAAAATTCGATAAAAGGTATATATAAAACATTTCATTTTAACTGAGAATATTATATCTACGTTAACTTTATTATACATGCACCGAGATTAAAAACTATAAAAATTTTTAGATAGCTATTTGATAAAAATTCGATAAAAAGTTAGATAGTTTAGCAATTCTCTCTACGACAATAGCCACATTAATTTTATTATTCGTTCCATTGAATTATTAATTTTATTGAAAATATAAAAATATGCATTTCTTTTAGATTAATAAAAAAATGATTCTATTTTCCTTTTTCCCTGCTCCCCGAAAAAGAATTTTGTTTTTGAATTTAAATTATAAATGTATATATTCTTGATAGAATTATCTCTGAAGAGAAGATATTTACTTTAGGAGTCAAACTACTTGAGAGCGAGAAACACGATATATCAGAAATAATCCTCAACGACTATGCATATCAGCTAAATCTCACTGTCAAACGCCTTGACAAATCTGATTTTGGTACTTACACGTGCTCCGCTGAAAACGCTTTTGGAAAAGCGGAAGGATCCATAAGACTACAAGGTATAATAACAACTATTAATGTGACGTCGTAAAAAATTCATAAATTAAATATAATTAAATATAAATCCACAACTTTATCAAATTCCGAAAATATTTATTTCTATTTTGTCATCTTATGATTTTTAAAGAATGAAAATATAATAACGCGCATAAAGAACAGAATGGATTGTGTCTCATAATTAATTTATATATTTTACATCTATAAGACACTTTAAAATGTTTATATGACATCTGGTCTCTTAATTCTCAGACAATACCGATAATCGCCTTTGTTATATTCTCTGAAATCGAATTTACAGAACTACAAATATCCAAATCAACGACAGCCTCCACACGAAATACCGAGCTTATCGAAAAGTATATCTGGCGGAAGCAGACGGAGAAGAAGGGAAAGAAATATTCGTACATGCTTAACAAAACGGAGTCGGATCTGACCCTGAAGAATGTGGGCCACACCACGCCGATGTCCAGGCGGAATTTGTCTAGCTTATCACCGAATATCGCGAACAAGTCGAGAATCTCGGCATTTCCGCCGCCAGCACCAGCTCCAGCGCATTCGGCGCCTACACGATTGGACGTTCAGAACGGCGTTAAATCATTACATGATTCGCGATTATGTCACGTCGGTTTCGTCATGATCGTCCTGGTGATTTTAATTCATGATTGAACCGAAGAGCAAGACATTTCGTGACGAGATCGTTCAATTGCAACGAAATTGGATTATTTGTCGTTGTTCCGATTGATAAAAGACACGCAGAGTGGAATTACGTGTAATTGATATTCAAATAATTTTTTTGCCATATTTTCATTTAGATGTTAGAAAAATGTGATGGAGATATCGAGAGAATCGATATTTTGCTGTAAATAATAAGACATTTTTATGACAATAAATGTAGTTACGTCTAAAAAGTAAATGAAATCACGATAAGGTATCTGAGAAGTAGGTGCAGATTACGTTGTTCAAAACGCACGTTTATAACTGCCATTATACAAAATACATTCTAGACGATACAGTATTTGCTACTATTCATTTTTTTATCGAATATAAGGCGATAAATTGACGTGCAGCAATCTTTTGTTTCGAAAAAAGATCACCATTTTATACATATTTTCAAATAGTAGACATTATTAAGCATAAGATTTATAAAAGTCGTTCCAATTAATTCGTGTAATTATCGCGCGATTAATAAATAAGCATATACATCGACAGAGTAATTAATGAGGGGTCCATATTAAGAACTGACTGAATTCGGAATTCGTTGGTCTTTCGAAATTGACTGAATTAAATTTATTCGTCTCTAGAAACGGCCGTATTTAACGAGAATTGTGACATGTATATATGTATGACAATAAATGTTGTTTTTACTATCATCCGCGAGCGCGATTTTTCTCTTTCAGGATGTCCCGATGAATTTCTGGCGATAAAAATAAACGCGTATAAATTTCAATTCGATTAAGTATATATGCTGATTTGCGTTATCATCGACAGGAAGAAGAAGTCATGAGGATGTGCTGCCCACATTGTATGTTTTTATCCATCGTTCGCTGTCTCGAGGACTTAGTTAATTCAATAACTTCATCGCGAACAAATGCACGACGATGAAGCGTTTGTTAATAATTTATCTTCTTTATACGCTTTTCCAAACGGTTTTATTGTCACCATGCGTGAAAATCGTGTATAAACAAACGAATAAGATTGGCTTTCAGTGCACTGAATTAACAACACTGCGAGAATATTTGAACAAAGCATGGACCAACACGACGATCATTACGATTTTTGATTCAAATATTCCTAACATACTCGGGTAAGAAAAGAAAAGAAATTGTTCGAAGATTGTAAGAAAAAAATTGATTGAATTGATATCATGATATAATTATAATCAATTTTTGATTATGATATAGAACGATGTGATTTTATTTTATTGTGTATTTTATATATTTTTCTCCAATTTATTTATTTATTTTTTGAGAATTTGTCCTCTATCTCTTTTCATTTATTTTACGGATATTCAATATTTCCTTTTAAAATTTGTATATATTTCGGAATATTCGTGTTTATTTTGAATAATTCTGTTTTGAATATTCATTTTTCATCGAATATATTACACGCGTTTTTGCGCCGACGCGATTTTCTTGTGTCTCCAACATTTTTAATTTGCGATTTTTTTTCACTTCATTCTGTTAAAGATATAGTTTTGCGAGATTCGGAGCGACTCTCATGACCTTAGACCTGCACGAATCGGGCATACAAACGTGCGATACTCAAGCATTCATAGGCCTTACGAAATTGAAGAAACTGATGCTTTGGGGCAATAAATTGACGAACGTACCAAGAGATTGGTTCGTGAACATGTACTCCTTGCAGACTCTGGATTTGTCATTCAACGCCATTCAGTGGGTCGACTACACGGTCTTTCAAATGCTCAGTAATTTACAAAACTTTTACTTCGACTATAACCAACTTAACTCTATCGACTACAACATGTTCGCTTATCTGGGTAATTTGAAGAAAGTAAAATTCAGCAAGAATCCCTGGAATTGGGCGTAAGTTAAATCGAAATATCGATAAAACATTACCAAAAAGACTGATTAAGCTATTTCACTATTAACTAGTTGATTAATCTAATGAAATTTTTCTTTTCATTGATCTGTAAATTTTAATTATTTGAATAAAAGAAGCTCATCCTTTTAAATATAAGTAAAAAAAACCCTAAATAAAATAAATGATTTTTTTTTATTTATTAACATGTATAACGCGTTTTCAGGTATCGCGCTCGTTTGACGTGGCAGTTGGAGAACCAAAAGGTTGAAATACTCGACATGTGGGAGGATTGGAACTGGATGAACGTCATGATCAAGGATTGTGTCGAGAGCGGCCGCGGCGAGTTGCCGAGTGACAAGGTGCTTGACTGCGTCGTGGAGAAGCTGCTCGTGTTCACGTACGAGAGCTATAACGTGCAAGAGAGAAGTAGCATGGTCGAATGCAGCAATCAAACCAGTCGATTAATACGTTGTATGAGACCGAGCAATGCTACCGGCAACACCGATTATGAAACGGTACGAAGGATCCTGGAGGATTACTCCACGATTCTGCCCTCAATGCAAAGAGCGCTCAGCCCTTTCTCATTGAAATGATAAACGAGCTATGTCTCCGTCTTCTTAGGGATTTCTTCAAGTTAAATCTTGAGGTACTTTTACCATAAATTTATAACTGTGTACTCTATAATTGCGAGAACTCTTAATCGCTACATAGTAGTAATTAGTATATATCTTTAAAAAATAAATGAATAAAAAGAAAATCGCGTAACTATATACTTTAATGTATAGTGTTTTATATGTAAATTTAAGATTTGTATTTAAAAAAAATATGACAAGTATTTCTTTTCTATATTAATTATAGAATAAGGAAAAAAAATAAGATTATAAATTCGTAGAAAAATAATAACTTTATTAAATTAATTTTTTCGCTATGCAATTTAAATTATACGTGAAGGTATTATGAACTAAAAAACTAAACGTAATATACGATCACAAATTCGATGTAACACGCTGTGCGTGTCTTTCAATTAAAATAATTGTTCTGAACAAAGCTGATATCTTATTTTATTAATTAAACATAGAAATTAATTTTTTTGTTACATATACAAAATATAAAGATGTATTAAATAAAATATAATACAAATAATAAAAATAAATAATGCTCGAAGTTTGCACAACAAAACAATTCAAATATCAATGATCAAATATACGAGCAATATAAAATGTTTTATTAAAATCTTAAAATTATTTTAACATATTATTAATATGAATATAACAAATAGATCTTTCGATTCAGAGTCTTCTTCAATATAATTAAATAAATCTATCTATTCCGCTTGACAATATTGCTAAATCGATGTCCATAATTAAAAATTGTAAAATCCAACTATGAACATCGATTTAAGAATTGACTTGATTTACCATCAATAACCATCAATTGACATGGAAAAATTATTTCTCGATTTACAATATTGTCAAGCGAAATAGATAGATTTATTTAATTGTATTGAAGAAGACTCTGTGAGTCGAAAGATCTATTTGTTATATTCATATTAATAGTATATTAAATTAATTTTAAGATTTTAATAAAACATCTTGTATTGTGTGTTCGTGTATTTGGTCGTTGATATTTAAAATATTTTTTAATAACGTATAATAAACATATATATTAAGAATTTGAAGTTAGATAAAATGAAGTAATTTTTAATAAAGTAAAAAGTTACGGAATCCCTTACAGTGTATAAAATTTGCAAGTATAAGACTTTTTGAATAATCAAAAACGAATAAATACATTCAGAAATAAATTCATCACATTGTAAATTTTTTAAAATAATAAATTTTAAAATAAATTTTTTTAAATGGCTATCAGTGTAAATACTCATAAATTTTCATTATAGATTGTAAATCATCAAATATACATTGTAATTTTGCACAAACTTTAATCATTTTTCTTTCAATATGTCTTAGACACTTTTTGAAAATATCATTATTTAATTGTAAGAACTGTTATTTAAAATTGATTTTTGAAAGATTTCTAGAACTTTGATAATTATTATCATTAAAATAAGTGGCCATTTATACGTCATAGATAATATCTGTATAGATTGAAATTTCATCGATATTGTAATTTTATAAACTTTAATAATTTAAAGTTAAAACTATCTTAGACATTCAAATAAAGTTAAATATATCTTAATCATCAATATTTCAAAATACACTGTCTCGGAATTGTAACTTAGAATCGAACGTCGAACTGAAATATTCTTCATTGATTACTAATTTGACAGTCATTAAAAAATTTGAGTTAAAATAGAGATAAGATAGAATTATATATCGACCTCTTTTTGCAATGCGTTAGTAGTTTTCGCGTGTGTATATAACAATTAAAAAATAAAACTGGAAAATATCAAAGCAATAGTAACTAATCTAATTTTGAACTGGATGCCAAACAATCGGCGTGTCAATCACAGGATTAATGTCCATTCCTGATACAATATAATGTTGTTCGAATAACTGCGACGCTACAAAAATACGCGCAAAATATCATTAAATCGCGACGCATGTATATTGTGTATTGCAAATATTTTTCGAGGCAAACAAAGCACGAGATTTCGCGGTACTTGTCGATTACAATTGAAAATCGAAATTTTGTAAATATCATGCATGTTTTTCGTTGTTGAAGCTGAATTAATCCGTGTAGGAGCGTTTTGTCAAAATCGCCTTTGATTCAACGCGCGCAAATAGAGAATGAAATAATCAAAAGCTTTTAATATAACACAAGCCAAAATGTTATACGTACCATTATTCGGGAACATACTGGTCAAATATTGGTACACTTTAATAGATGCCTCGCTCATGGCTTTATGTTTTGATGCCACTGGCTCCCCTTGAAATTCGCACATTATAAACTCACCTTTACGAACAATTATCTAAAATATAGTGACACAAAAGAAAGCAGTAAATCATTAAGCATAAATGAATGAAGAAAAGATAAGAAGTTGCAAATTTATTAAAACGTTTACTCTGCCAATATATCCGGATACATCCACTATTTGTATGCAGTCAAAAGTACACGTAGCATCGAATCTCTCCTTGACAAAGTTTTGCAGGGTCTTCATCTGTGCCAGGTATACGCTCTTATCTTCGTATGTTTTCGTGAGCATTTTGCTGGAGCGCTTCTTTCGTTCTTTTGAATGCGGCTTTTCGGTTTTTTGGACTCTCGAGTTGGTTACCGCCTCATGAATGTATCGTGCTCTTTCCAGGATCTTGGACGCTCCAATAGGTTTCGCCCAACGGATTTCCCAACCCTGCTTTTCAACGATGCTATCCGGTCCTAAAAAGTAAAATTATTCATATAGAGAACTAAACGCGAATCTGTTTTTCATAAACCTGAAATAAAAGAAAATTTTTTGACCAAAGACAACCCTTTCTGTATTTAGTTGAAAAAATATTAGTAACATTAAACACGATGTATATGTTAATTTTAGAAACAAATATGATTAGAAAATAATTTTATTAATAAGATTAATTTCACACCAATTTTCTACGGATTCCCTTTAAAATTTGATAAATTCTGGCCGAAATCATTATATTTATTTCTTTGCATTTCCAAATCATTTATATTTTCATTGTTTGGCTTTCGTTACACTGCTGATATATACTCACTTTCCATTATGTCCATTACAGTCTTTGCGGCTTCGCGATTCTCATAGTGAACGAAAGCGAAATGATTGATCTTCTTTAGTTTTAATATAGGCACGTTTGTGTACCTGTAGAGAATCTCTCTCACCTTTTGTTGTGACATATTAAGGGCGAGGTTTCTTACGAATAGAGCTGTTACCTATTTGTCATCGTGTATGATATTGAGTTAGTATATTACATATAATCTTGTTTCATGTTAGTGTGTATATAAAACACACACACACACACACACACACACACACACACACACATACACACACACACACACACACAGTGAGATGTGATTTTGTTGCTGCAAATTTATTTTATACCGCGTTCTTTTTACAGAATTTTTTCAGAAATTGTTTTGTTTTTTATCAAATACATTCCCCGAAAATTAAACGTGAGAGATATTTCTTTTTTTTATAATTACGCAAGGGTATCCGGGAAAAAAAGATTTTATAGTTATATAACATTATATAAAATTATTATATATGAAATGTATCCATATATGAACATATTTTATGTCATAATACACATATATATAATTACATG